AACTCTTATTTTGGATATTTGTAAGAATTATGGTGATTTTTCAAAATTAGGATTTAAAATCTCGAAAACAGTTTTTGACCATTGGAACAGTAGAAACTTCCGTACGAATCTGGCAAAATTTCACATTGAATTAGTTCCTAATACTATTTTTTGTTTAAAGAGCACTTAAGGAGCTTTTAGTAGGACCTAAAACCACTAAGTTTTGAGCTTTTTGCAATTAATTACAATTTTTCAAAGTCGGATTAAAAATTTGGAATTTTCTCAATGAATAGTAACCTGAGAAATAAATGTTAAATTTTCAATTCACGGATTTGTTTCATGATTTGTTTAAACCGTAATACTTTTGAATGCATACTTAAGAGGGTTTAAGGAAGGATGTTTCATTTGTTAATGACATGTGATTCAAAGTATGAGAATAAATGGGAGACTATAAGGCTAGTTGGTGCATACTTGAATTAAGTAAGAATTAAAAATAAGAAGCTAATGAAGGATAAAACGTAAGTCCTAAAGTAATGAGGTTCCAGCTCTAGATTGACCTAGCAAATGGTTGAATATGATCACAAAATTTGGTGATCATATTGTACACATCATAAGCTTTAAAAGCATGAATAGTTTGCTTTAATTGGATGTAGACATTAGGATACGAATTTTAGAAATTGAGGTAGAGAATCTGGAAGCTCCATAATTGACCAAATGAATAGTAAATTTCAACAAATAAACTATAAAAATTAGTAAGGATAAGTCCTTTTTTTTTTCTTATAACGAATTGAAAGAGCTTCAAATAAAATTTTGAACCACCTTAATATGATTTTTCTATAATTAGTTATAATTTTTCAAAGTTGGACGAAATATATAGAATTTTCTCTGTGAACAGTAACATGAGAAACAAATGTTAAATTTTCAATCCGCTTAAATCATAATATCTCTGAATGCATACTTAAAAAAATTTCCGTTGATTCCCAATAATGGTTACTCATTCTTGTACTGTAGTTAAAAAAATTCATCATTTGCCCCATTTGCAAGTTATGAATAGCTTGCTGTTCAGAAAACAACATACTTATATAGTTTTATTTATAAGGTAGTTCCTCCAACATGTTTTACATAAACTAAGAAAAATCTTGAATTATATTAATTTTCTATTAAAATACAACAACTTTTAACATTATTCCCATTTAATATATATATCTTTCAAAAAACATAACTATCTATACTGTAATAAATGAAGGACAGAATAATACGTTCATGCTAACAATTTAATAAAGTAAACTAAGAGAAATCTTCTCTCTCTGCCTCATACGCTTCTCTTATATTTTAATTATAGAAAATATTCTTCATTTTATAAATATGCCCAAAACTACTTCTTCTTCGTTTTTTTTTTACTGGAGTTTTTTTTTTTTTGAAATCAGAAGTTATCTCTTACGTACATGCACGCTCATCTATCTATCATCTACTAGTATTAGTTATATCATTACTTATATATATTTTTTGTCTCAAAAAATAATTATAAGAGATCACTTGGGGAGTAAAATAAACAATTTCCTTTTTTTATATTAAAGAGGGGCATTCTAGTTATTTAACAACATTAAGAGATTTCTAATTAGGCCTCATGGTTTGATTAAGAATTTGTTAAAAGTATAGGCTTAAATTTAAATTCAGATATTTCTGCTAGATTCAGTTGGCATTCTCTCTTAAATTTTTTCCTCCCCTCCCCTCTTCTCTTCTGCATTTCTCTCCTGCCAAATGAATCCATGAATGTTAGGACGCAAGGCCTAACTTCAGAATCTTGATGTTTGATGTGCCTTTTGTACTTGCATACTCCTTTGGTCTTATTCATAGCGTAGAGAGAATTTTTTTTTAATTCTATTTATAAGTCACTTCATTAAATTTTTGGTATGAATGTACAATTTTGTCCTTCATTTATTATAGTGTAGATAGTTATTTTTCTTGAAATGTATATATATTAAATAGAGATAAAGTTGAAAAATTGTTATATTTTAATGGAAAGTTAATGCAATTTAAAATTTTTCTTAGTTTATGTGAATCATAATAGAAGTGTCTTATAAATTGGACCAGATAAATAAAGTTTAAATGTAGCATTTTAATTATACTTAGCAAATGGAAACAAATTGGTTTTTCAATCCACACAGCAGTCCGCTTCGACAAGCACATTTTATCTATCTTCACAATAATTAAAAGTTTGATATATGATCATTACTTAAAGGAATGCAATTGTTTTTTGCAAAAAGAAATTGAAATTCATACAAACGAAAGAGGGGAAGAAAAAGTAAATGGAAACACTAACAATACTATTTTAACAATTCATGGGAACCTGAGATCTAGCGGGTGTTTGGAAACCCAAAAAGCACTAAAAAAAAAGTGCTTCAATACAAATCGAGACAAAAGCCCTCTCACATATTCCAATGATCATATTTATGAGACACTTTTAACATATTTTGCACAAATCAAGAAAAATTTTAAATTGTATTAACTCTTCATTAAAATATAATAACTTTCTAACTTTATACCCATTTAATATATATATATATATACCCTTAAAAAATAACTACCTACACTATGAATGACAAAATAGTACATTCATACTAAAAATTTAATGAGGTAACTTGTAAATAGCATAAAAAAAATTTCTCTCTCTATCCTACAAATAGGACTAGAGGAGTACTTATTTCAAAATCTCTAAAATCACTTTTAAAAAATTAATCCAAACACCTTCTTAATCCAGGCAAGAGGAGCAAGAATTTTCATGTACAAATAGAATTCATAACTTGAGACTTATTTGCCAACTATAGGTCTATTGAAAATAGCTTATAATTAGTTTTTCATTCATAATTTATGAAATACGAGGTAAGTATGTGAAATAAGTTTTATTTTCGTTTACATAAAACTTGTTTATAAATGATTTTAATGGTGATGACAAACAGTACCTGTAATAACAAGGACTCAACAAATCCAAGCCTGGCGGCACAATCGCCGTCATGAAGAGGTGGCTGACACGGAGCGGAGTAATGGTGATGGGATGATGACGACGCAAGAGGAGTGTGAGGATGAGAATGGGGTATCCCAGCTTCCACCCAATCATTTGAGTACAAAGTGTCTGGGTGATGTTCACATTGTTTGCTCCGTCAATGTCCTTCTGGCATCTTTAACGATGGAGATCAACGTCTCCAATGGCTTTTTTTTTTTGGCATCAAACGTCTCTAATCGTCTAATGGCTTAAACCAAAAGGAGTGCAATAATAAAAATAAAATAAAAAATAGTGTAAGAACTCACTATAAGGACCTGAGATTTTCCCTACATTTGGTATGAGAGAATTAGAGAAGAGGGAAAGAGATTGGAGAAAAAATCTTTATGAGCTCAATTTAAAAAATTAGAAAATAGGGTTATATAATTTGGATAAAAAAAAAAAGTAGGATAAAAGAGTAAACAAAATCAATTAAAAGCTTTTAACTATATTTTTTTTTAAAATGAAGTTATATTAAAATTTTCTCCTTTCCTTTCCCTTCCCTTGTACCACACGGATCATCAATTTTCCGCTCCTCGCAACTTGGTCGCTAAGTTATATGACTTTTTAGTCCCTTAAAGTCAAAACCCGGAATACAGCAGTTTAGTGTTACAAAGTCCAAAAGCACGAGATCTTATGATTGTCCTGCACTGTCTGCTGTTCAGAAATATGAAACAACAACAAATATGAGTACAGATGCTGCCCATATAATGCAGACACATTGCAACAGATCAGGGTGGGCCATGAATGATATTAATATTGCTAATGCTATGGGAAGAAATCCAGAAATAACATCTCTTGTAAACCTAAAGAGGGAAGCTCAAAATCAGGAACCATTTTACATATGGCCTTGGCATAGATGAGTGCCAGCTAGAGGTATCCACGGGATGGCCCGTCCTGGTGCTGGTGAATAGGGATGTGATGGGATTTCTGTCCCGTGTGCTGTGTCCCGTTTCGTTTTCTGACTGTCCCGTTTCTTTTTTTAAAAAAAATTTTAATTTTGGATATTAATTTTTTTATATTATAATGTCTGTTTTTTATTGAGCTTCTAAAGATAAAAATATTATTAAAAAATATTGTATAGAAAATTCAATTATATAATATAAAAGCATATAAAAACAATACTTAAATAAAACCATAAAAGAAACATTATATAATAGTTTTATGAATTATTTTATTAAAGAATGAGATTTTGTTGAGATAATATTACAACTTAAGAGCATAAAATCACTATTAAAAATCATTATTATTATTAATAAGTAAATTGAATAATCTAATACTAATTATTAATAAATAAGTTTTTTTTTAAAAAAAATACCTTGGGATGGGACGGGACGACCCTATCCCGTGTTCCGTCCCATCCCGTCCCAAAATTTTTTTGTCCCATCCCGAATTGATCAGGATCGAGACGGGACAAGTTGAACACTCATAATGCTAGCATTAGTATCAGAGCCCAAGAATTCAAATAGAGCTTGCCTCGAAAGGGAATTGTATTCCCACGGTTTTGATTTAATTTAATTTAATTTATAGGCTTCAATTCATGATTTCCTTAAACTATAGGGTTTCTGGATGAGTATTAAATGAATAGAAAAGACAGTTGTGACAAGCGTCAACAATTATGACCAATTCGATGAGAGGTAAGAGAGGTTTGAGTGATCTGTCAACATGCCCTTTGGGGTGTGATAGTGAGGAGAGTGTGATACGCTTGTTGAGAGACAGCAATAGAGCGAAACACATGTGGAAGTTTTTTATTCATCCTAACTCCTATTCTGCCTTTTCTTTTTTTTTCCCTGACAATTTATAGGAATGGCTACATTGGAATTCGACACATTCACCATAGAGGATTAAGTTCCAAGAGGCGTCATGGTCACGTGCCTTTGGCTTGTTATGCCGACTGATTTGGAAGTATAGGTGCCAGATAATATTCCAATCACACCAAGCCGCCACCTCGGAAATCATTCATCATTGCAGTTTTCTTCTGATGGAGGAGGTGGAAAAAGGAAGATTGAAACCCAGGATATTTATTAATCAACAATCAAGGAGCAGACAGTGGATTCCCCCAGAAGCAGGAACAATCAGGGTGGATGTGGATGCTTCGGTGTTGGAGAATGGACAAGCAGCATGTGGAGGGATGATTATGGATGATCAGGGAAGATGGATCACTGGCTTCAAAAAGTGCCTAGGCGTGCTACCAGTGGTAGCAACAGAACTAGTGGCCATCCATATAGGGTTGGAGGCTTGCAAATCATTCCAACTACCAAATGTTCAACTTTGCTCAGGTTCGATGGAGGCGATCAATATGATCTCAAGAGATAGTGGCGCGAATCATCCTTTGTACAACGAGATTGAAAGGGTCAAACATCTGTTGCATGATGGACAGAATGTTCAAGTAAATTATAGTATCAGAGAAGCCATACAATGTGCTGACATACTAGCTAAAGCGGGCCACCCCGTGGGCCCACAGACAGTCCTAGTAACTGGGATTGACCCGACATGCAGAAGAAGATTCATGGAAGATTTCCAAGGCTTAAGGAGGACAAAGGACCCTCCAAACTGATAATATTTTTGTTTGCTTCCTTTTGTCAGTCTCTTGCCCTTTTAATCTGGAAAAAAATTGAGAAAAAATAGTTAAAAGAAGATCACTGAAATAGAAAAATTACATACAAGAACCCGTTCACAAAATTATTGTCAAAACCCATATTAATGTTGTTTTGGGTCTCAATTTGCAATCTTTTATTTTGACGGTCTTTTTCTGCCATTTTTCCAAAAATTGAATTAAAGTTTAATCCAATCGAGCCCATCCTGAATTGGGTGGGGTCCACTTGGAAAACTCCGTTCATCCGCTTCGATGCTGTGAGTCTTGGGTTTGTGGTATGCTATGTTGGGCCACTCCAAGGTTTTTGTGTACTTATTTTATTGGGCCAATACTGTGCCCTTCTTTTATGTTCTATGTGTTTGTATCCAACCAGTGGCCCAATATGCGTGTTTGAGTGTGCTTGGCATGCGTGTTAAGAGTTTGTGCTAACCATTTTAGTACTTTTAATCTCAAGTTGACTCTACGGATGTTAAAAGATAGCTTGAACATAAAATTAGGATACAAATTCAATTTTTTTTTAAAAAATCAATATACTATTTTAGAACGTATGCCTGGCATAGTTAAATCGCTCTTAATGAATATTATTTGCAAAATAAATGGCACAAAATAGCCTACACTCGTGCAAATGCTCCAATTTATAAAATAACATTTGCACCATAAATAAAATTAGGATGTCAGATGTATATGAAAAATAAGATCAAGATGCCGGATGCCACTTTCCTTATTTAAAAAAGGAGTAACAGATGTTTATAATGTTAACCATTTGAATGGGATTGCATCATTATTTTTTAAATACTTTAGTGCGTGGAATTGCATACCAAATAATTTTAAGATGCTGGATAAATCATGGAAAATATTTTGGGATGCAGAACACATCTTAACCTTGTAAGATTTAGAGAAAATACTTTGAGATGCAGAGCACATCTTAACCTTGTAAGATCCCAATCATAGTTGTCTAAACATTTAATGTGTTTTACTATTTTTGCCTCTAATTAATTTTATGTATTATACTTGTATTAATTGAAGAGTTGGCAATTTGCCAATTTGGCATAATATATCGAGAAATTCTTACATGCTTCCAGTGCACCCTGTCACTTGCGCTCTGGCCAATCAGAACACACCAAGTCACGTCATTTTAATCCAACATGGAAACATTAAATCTTACATTGCATTTTTTTAAAATTATAAGGCATGATGAGTTATGCAGTGGGTCCCACCATCTTCTTTTTATGAGATTACTCCCTCCTTGCGGTTAATTCGCCCTCCTCTCCTCCCAAGCTCGGCCCACGGCCCCACTCTCTCTTCCTTTACCATTTTCACTTTTCATGAACTGCATCCATCATCAACGTACGAGGGGCGACCTCAAAAGGGAGATTGAGGTGATTTCTCATTCTAAAGAACTCGATTTCAGCTGAGATTGAGGTGATAGTGAATCAAAGTGAAAGGTTCGACTTTGACATGTGCTCCTTCGACTTGAAGCTTTGCATCTCATTCGGCACATCAATCTCGCTCTTTGAAGAGGTATTGGCAGATCTCTTGATGGTTCTTCTTGAGAGTGATCATGGTGATGGCAGCGGCAGCGGCAGTGGCAAATCTGTGTGTGGATTTAAGAAAAATAAGTAACTTGATTCTCAGAATCTATGAAAAACCCACAAACTAATGCTCGAAGCCTCTGCTGTTTTTTTAATGATTTATTGTTTGCAGTGGATTGAACTGCAACTTCAATAGCCTTTAACTCCATTGTTTAATAGCGGAAACTGCGATTAGGTCTCGACGGTGAAGGAAGAGAGAGATAACATGTGGGCTGTGGCGTGGGGGTGGAGACGAGGGTGGGGGAGAGAATCAAATGGTGGGACCCACAGAATGATTTTGGGAAAATCTGGTTAAAAAAATCCCTGCTTAAAACTTTAAAACCTTAATTGTTAAAAAAACCTAAATTTGAATGCGTGCAATTATGATTTGTAAATATAGTTGTTCTTCTATTGTGTGTAACATTTCTTTAATTGTGTGTAAATAACTTCCACATTGATATATGTTGCACATCATTAATGATATGTTGCATACAGTAAAAAGAAATTGCACTCATAAATCATAGTTGTATTTCCTCAAATTTAGGTCTTTTTAGTCAATTAAGTTTTTAAACAGGGACTTTTAATCAAATTTTCCGTGATTTTTTTATGTTTTAATGTTTTGTAATTTTAGAAAAATGCCATGTAAGATTTAAATGTTTCTGGGTTGGATTAAAATAATGTGACTTGGTGTGTTTTTATTGACCAAGACACAAATGATGTGGTGCAGTTGGAGCATGTAAGAATTTCTCATATCTAATATATTCTCTTTTATACTTTCTCTCTCTTGCCTACCCTCTATAAATAAGGACATGCTTGGAAAAACAAAAAAAAAGTTTATTTTTTACGTATTTATTATTTTTAACTAATTTCAAATTTTGTTTTAAACTGCATAATTTGATCATCAGGCTTTTAGAAAAAGAAGAGAGGGAGTATAATACACCACCCGGAATAAATGAATTGTCCTTATTATATATGCCATCTGACAAGTATTAATTAAATTTTTCAATATTACTCAGATTTAAAGTTTTAATCATGAGAGTATGACCAAAAAAAAAGTTTTAATTATGAGACAGAATCTAACTTTTTTTTATTTAAATGTAGATAAAATTAAAAATTTATTCTATTTTTGTACTAGATTAATGACTTGATCACTTATTTTTTCAATGCCGTGAATGGTAAGAAATGTATTATAATAGAAACAAGGATGAATATTAGCCTATCTTTTTTCCAGGATTACCCTATCCAATAACAGTAAAAAACCATATATAAATAGTCTATAAAAAGAAAAAAAAGAATATATAAATACATCTTAATTAATCAAAATGTGTGTGTGCTTGTCTAAAATGGCGACAAAGTCCTTCAAAAATAGCTTTTCAGTTGTGATCAAGGTTCTAAAAATCAGACTGACCTCTGAACCGGTCTAGATGGTGCGTCAAGAATTAGTAAGTTAAATTAGAGTTAACCTAGAAGTTAAACCGGTGAGGAATTAAAAAATAAAAAATTAATTTATATTCTCATCATACCATCCAAAAAACTAAATGTCAATTTAGTACCTAGAATTACAGCCGGGAAAAAAAGTTGAGCCTCTCGGGCCAGCCCATTTAGGCCCGAAAATTGTAAGGGCCGGGCTTGATATTTTTCCCTTCAAATAGGTGTTAGAAACAATCTCACCCAAGAGGGGGGTGAATTGGGTGAGTTACAAAAATTTTAAATTAAATGCGTGACAGTATTGAGAAAAAAACAGAGTCAGAGTCAGGAGAAATTTCACCGCCGAGGGAAGACACAAGATTTATACTGGTTCGGTCTTAACCACTTGACCTACTTCCAGTCCCCAGAACACCTCTGAGTATTTCACTATCTTCCAACATCGACAGGGCTCTTGGTGCCTCAGTACAGTAATTGAATCCCTCAATCACTCCCCCTTACTCCCGTAAGGATACAAGCCCTCTCAAGAGTCCACACTCTTGAGTATCACTCAAGTATTTAATAAGAGTAGTAATTGGTTCTCTTACAGAGTGAATTTAATGATGAACACTAATGCTCGGTAGTATCGCGGAAAACAGAGTATTGAATGCTAGACTTAATAATCGCAGGTGGTAGTTCCGGTATTCAATCTCTTCATTAATGCTTCTTCGCGCCTTTTATAGTTGATATCGTTAAGTAGCCGTTAGACGGAAGAACTTCTAGCCGTTGTGACTCCGTTTGCGTGTTTCACTGGTTTCAACGGTTCCGCCATTAATGCGTCTGATCTTCTGAGACTGTAGGTTGCAGTCTACGTAATCCCGTTGAAGAGCCGTTGTATTCTTTCTCAGTAATCTGCATATTTTAAGCTTTAAACAAGTAAGAGTCTTGCGGTGTAGACTTTATTCATGAACCAAGAAGAGAAAACGAATTAATCATTCAGTGATTTTGGATGAAACGATTTATCTGTAAAAAGAGCAGAAAGACATTCTGGATATGTTTGATCGAAGAGATGATCGATTACTTGTTGATAGATCATGTTATCGATAAACAGAATGAAGACTTTTCGAATTAGTTCAACAATATTATCGATCAAGTGTTGGATTATTGACTTTAAGAATTATCATAGTAAACGGAAATTGTTCCATGATCGAACAAGTGATCGAACACTTGTTTGATCGAACAGATTATCGATAATTCAAATGTTATTGAAATGAAACTTCAGTCATTGATGATCGAACAACTTATCGATAAATGTAGAATGGATAATGTTATCGATAAATCATGAGTATGAATATATTCAGTGAAAGACACAGACTATCTGAAATGATCGAGCAGGTGATCGATCAATGAATATTCGAACAAGTGATCGAATAAAGTGAGAAAATAAATTTAATCCTGGAAGGTAAAGAAACTGATTATCGATCAAGTTTTGTGAAAACATGAGTGTCAAGGAATTGAATGATCGATCATATTATCGAAAAGCCAATGATCGATTAGGTGATCGAAAATAGTTCAACATAATTTAATGCGAATATAGCAATCCTTCGACTCTTTATCGATCATGTTATATGAAAAGATATTTATGCAAACAAGTTAAATTATCGATAATGTTATCGATAATTTGGTTGCAGGAAAACTAAATAAGCGTAGATAAAGACATTGATTATCGATCATGTGATCGATAATTTTATGATCAATAAGGTTATCGATCCATCGGTAAAGATGATTACCTGCATTCAGAGAGTTAGAGCATAATGATCGAACAAGTGATCGATAAATTGGTAACAGAATTAATGTGCAGAACAAGTAGATTGTGTTACCTCTTATCGAAGTCGTTATTGATAACTGATTTATCGATCATGTTATCGATAAATATACTTCAGATTTGGTTCTCTTTATCAGTAACTCGATTGATTATCTGTTATT